TCTCCAAGTCGAAGATGGTTTCCACCCCCAAACCAAAGCTACGACCCAGAGGTTGAATCGGAGATCCTGCCACCGGCCACCGGACGAAGGGTTTGGGGCTAGTGTTCATGATGTGTTCCCGGAAAACAGGAAGCTAAGCCTGGCGATTGACTTGAACATGGGGCGAACAGGGCGAGGTTGTGTGGTTCTGCTACTTTTAGGTACGTTTGCAAGCAAAAGGGTGCGGGTTTGGGGAATACAGACATGCATTCATGCATGCATGCATTTGTCCGTTCCTGCCTTCTTTTCTTTCTTCCACCGTTTGTTCGCTCCTTCATTCGCGCATTCATTCATTCATTCATTCATTCATTCATTCATTCATTAATTAATTCATTCAATCATTCATTCATTTATTCATTCATTCATTCATTCATTCATTCATTCATTCATTCATTCATTGATTATTGATTCATTGATTCATTGATTCATTGATTCATTGCTTCATTGATGCATTGATTCATTGATTCATTGTTTCATTCATTGATTCATTGATTCATTGATTCCTTGATTCCTTGATTCCTTGATTCCTTGATTCCTTGATTCCTTGATTCCTTGATTCCTTGATTCATTGATTCATTGATTCATTGATTCATTGATTCCTTGATTCCTTGATTCCTTGATTCCTTGATTCCTTGATTCCTTGATTCCTTGATTCCTTGATTCCTTGATTCCTTGATTCCTTGATTCATTGATTCATTCATTGATTCATTCATTCATGCATTCATTCGTTCCATTCCATTCCATTCCATTCCATTCCATTCCATTCCATTCCATTTCATGTGGTTTCGCTTCTTTTCGTTTGGTTTCATGTCATTTCATGTCATGTCATTTCACTTCATTTCGCTTCATTTCATTCATTCAGAAGCAAAGATAAGGGGTGGGAAGAACGGACCCTTTTAATACCAGCTACACACAAACAATTGTTTGCCTTACACAGGTGGTACATAGCCAAAAAGGCGATCGTAAACAGTTGCGCCCTTCGGGATCGACTAGTTTGAAACACGGGTTGGCCTCGACATTGACCCGTGTTCTTTCCATCCCCCCCCCCCCCGGTTCCCTCCCCCGCTCGACCGCGAACACGTGGTTGGGGCAAGTGTAATCCCCTTCCAGGCACAGGACGAGAATCCTTCAGGTCTAGACAAGCGCGCAGGTGCCCATTTCGCCGAAACCATGACATCATACCCATACGGGCGTGTGGTTTTCCAAGGACACCAACAGGAAAACACCCCCCATTTTGCGGGGTTCCCATACCAAACAAACACAAAATTGCAGGGGTCCAAATAAAAAAAATAGCAACATCGCCATTTGGGGCATCCATAGCTCTAGGTCCTCCAGTAGAGAGATTAAAATAAGGGTACCGACCTTTTTCTTTCTTTTTTCGGTGTAGTCTAGGAGAACCCCCCAACCAAAAAAGTTGGTCAAAGGGCACTTGGCTGAAAGACCTAGAGCTCCCAAGCTCCCGAGGCGCGCCGGTCGTGCTGCACTCCAGGGGAGCTTTCGGCGCGGAAAGGAGCGCTTTGGGCGCGTGCGCGCGGCGACGTCCTGCTCGGAAGTGGGTCGAACGCAAGGCTTTTCGGTCACGCGTGGGGTATGGGAAAAGGGGCAACATGGGTGGTATCGGAAAAAAAAAAGAAAAATGTTCGTCTCAAAATTGGACTCGTTTCCCTCCCTTCCCCTGTAAAAAACTCGCTGAGCAGCCCTATATGCAGACCATGGTTTCAGTGTGACAAGAGCACCCTTTCAGGGCACCCTCCCCCGGGTCATATGGACAAGCCATGGATATCCCTGCAAGGGCATGGATGGAAGGCACTCTTTCTACTAAGCGATGCGGTCGATCTGTGGCCATGGTTACAACCACCCAAACTTTGTAGCTTGTTGTTTTCCTGCTGAACAGGAAACACACACTCAAATGTGTTCCCGACACGTTAAGGTTGAACAGAAAACAAAGGAACATAGAACAACCAAGCTTTGCAGCTAAAGTGAAATGTCTACATTATAGCTGCGGCTGGGCAAGGAAGGCACCTTCTCAACAAGGACAAGATGATAGATACAAATTAGGACAAACAGCATACATACTGATCTGCTTATGCTACCATCTTGTTAGATTCAACGGACTCAAATGAATGTGACAACGTTTCAAGAGTAAAACCTCATGAAGAGAGTTGTTTGGAGTTATCTGCAGTGAATGTGTTTCACTCAACGGATTTTGCTTTCTCACCCACCAAACAATATAAGGCATATTTACAAGCAAGAGGCATGCGTCATGGGCGAGGTCGCTTTACTGCAAGGGGTCGCCATAGTTGGTGTAGGCTCACTAATTATCAAGTTACTAACTTTGAATTTCCAACCAGCCCAAAGGGCCTGTTCATGGTTGTGGTAAATGACATCACGCTTTCTGTGATTCCAAAGTGGACTTCCATCCCTGACTACTTCTTCAATCTAAAGGGGGTTCTCTTGGTATCAAAGAAACATGCCCCTACCACCCACAGCTTTGCACAACCATGAACGAGCCGAGTCCAAGCGGTTGACATCTAGCCCATGCGGGCGGCCGCACGGTTGCAACGTGAGAACAAACTTCTCAAAGGAAGCTCCATGGAAAAAGCTTCTCATGTTCACTCGCCCAGCTTTGATCATCAGTCGCTATGTGTTGCTTTGCTTATCTGTTATATAATTTGTTTCCCTGGCCGCGCTTGAAATGCCCACCTGCTTTCTTCAACCTCCCAATCTTGCATCAAGAGATCCAGGCTTGGGTGTGGCCTTTGCTTGCAACTTACAGGGAAATCAAAAAAAACAACACCGAGGGCCAAGACTTGTTTTTCCTAAATCCCCCCCACCCCCGACCCACCCACCACCCACCCACCACCACCCACCCTACCCACCCCCCAAGACGAGGCTCCCATTTCACCCGACGCCTCGCCTGGTGCCTCGTCAAATTGCCAGGCCACCGGCGCGGCGAGGGGCGCCCATCTCCTCGGCCCAGAAGCTTTCGGCGGGCGTAGCACCAGAAAAGGCGCTGGCCGAAGTTGGTCTCCGGGAAAGACAGGCTGAAAAGGGTACAGCTACTTAAAAAAAACAAAAACATCTGCAGTCTGTTTCAAGTAAGACAAATCCACGAAAATCGACCCGTGAGGCTGCAAGATCTTCATGGGTTTGCGCAACGCCCGAATTGATGAGCTTCGTTCGGCCAATGTCCGGTCTCTGACACCTCCGGGTTGTAAAACCTCCCAGTGGGTTGGCCGAAGAACTTCTGCACTTGGGAACCCCGGATCTAAGTGGTCTGAATTTCAAGGAAACACCCCCCCATTCTCTCAAAATCAAGCAGGGCTTCTGCTTAACCCCTGGTTCCTATTGAAATGGTCTCAACAGTAGAAGGTCCACCTCAAAAAGCGAGTAAGAGGACTGCCTTCGTGGGGAACACACCCCAAACTCGGTTGTGAAATCTGCTCCCCTGCTAAAAGTGACTAACTTTTAGTGATGAAAACCCATGAGTTGGCAAAAAGTTAAAGTCCTAACATCCAAGCAAAATGCACCAAAGAAAAAATGGAAGATCTGCGCCGAAGTGCAACAGTCTGGAAGCTATCGCAGACCTCATGGCGGAGATCTCTCGAGCCACAACGCCCTGCGGTCAAACAGCCCACAAATTCCCCGTGGAACTGTCTGGACGTCTTCCTTGCTTTCAGATGAAGCGTGGCCTTCACTCCGTGGCGTCTACTGTGACCCTCCTATCCATATCCAATGTGGGAATGAACCCAGGATTCTCTCATTCCCATGCCGAGCACCAGCAAGCTTTGGAAGCGGTGTGTTCTATAAGGGTACTTGCCCTTGTCACAGTTTAGATGGACATGAAAGGACCACCCTATTCCGACACATACACATACAATACACTCACTTCCTGAGTGGATGGCACCAAAAAGTCCGAGCTTCGCCACACAAGTGATCCAAACCCGTCCAAACCCAAAAGGTATCAAGTCCATGAACTCAGCAAGTGAGTTTACCCCCGACTCCAAATACCCACTCTTTTTAGGGTATCATGTCGACCCTCTACTAAAAAAGGAGGTATTTACCTTGAAAAACCAGGTTTTCAAAAACCGTAGAAAACTGGGTATTTGGAGTAGGGGGTATTCTGATGAGCGATGAAAAGGAGAGCCATGGCAGCCCCAAATTTCTGACTGCGACCAGCTTCTATGACCTTCCCATGGCTCACCTTGCGAGTCGGTTCTGAAGTGGGTGTGAACCTGTCAATGCGACTTCGAGGGAGTGACAATCCACAAGAAATCTGCCCGAAACCCCCGGTAACCTCCATTTGCTGGTACCCTCCATTTGCGAAAGTCCCATGAAGAAAATGACAACAGTTCCAGTAGCTCATTGAATTTGAGCTCCCAATTCTGAAATTCAAGGCCCAGAACCCACTCCCCAATGAGTGCCTAAGGCCTTGTTTGGGGCCAACCGTCTTTTCAAGACTAGTCCTGGTCCAATCCAATCAATCGACTTGTTTCGTCAACTCCCTTCCGTGGATTTGCAAGAAATCTGTCACCAAAACCTGGTCACCCAGAAAAGCAACTGGTCAGTACACCACCTCAGTTGGTGAAAGGACCCAGAAATAAAAGGCAAAAGGCAAACCATTTGGGGCCATTGCTAAAAACGGACTAAGTCATAGAAACCCAAAGGCCAAAAGGTCGATTCGCTTTGGGCAAGCGAACCCAAGTGACTGGCCCAAACCCAAGTGGTCGTCAAGCCACCGATCGACGTCACGAGACTCGACTCCCCTTGTGGAGGGGCCCCATTTTGGGATTGATGGATGCCCTCGGCTGAAACTGACTGGGTTTAAGTCTATCTTGGAATCAAAACGTGTGTGTCTGTCTTCAAGCGGAGCCACCCTCTTGCCACCCAAAGAGGCTACTTAGTCTCAAGAAACGACAGACCCGCATGAAATCCTTCCACTGCCCACCGTCTGGTCGCACCCTGAGAGTACCCTCATACTCTGCGGCCTCCAGTCGCCACCCTGAGGCTCGCTTCGCCCCGCAAAATGGTCAGGGGTGAAACTCATGGCCTTTGAACACGGCACGTCCCCTTTGTTTAGAACTAGGTCCTCCAGTAGAGAGGTTAGAATACGGGTACCCCTTTTTCTGTAGTCTATTTTAGTAGGGTTCCGGAACCCTCCCGCAAAAAAAGCTGGTAAAAGGGCACTACTGGGGGGACCTAGAAAACAATCCCTTTTAAGGAACCAGCCCAAAGAACAAAACCCAACAGAAAAGGCTGTGGAAACAAGACACAAAACAACACGAGTCATCCCCCTTTGGTTCCTTTTGGAGAAACTCAAATGTATGGGAGATCTAGCACCCAGTTCCAAAAATGGGAAGGTGTGTCTCACCCAAGGTATAACCACATTAGTTAGATCGGGTTTGCCTCAAAATATGCTAAACTAGGGCAACCTGCTAAAAGATGCCGGGGTGTCCATTTTGTAAAACCAACCAAAAGGGTGCCCCCCACTCTCCCCCACCATTAAAACAACACACACACACACACACACACCAGTCCCTACGCTAAATTGTTGCTCTTCTGATTTTGCCCTCTTGGCCGACCGGCAAACAACCTCTTGCACCTGAAACAATCGCAAAAGTAGCCTCCATGTTCATGCGGATTCCTTGGAGTCACCACGCAAGTTTTAGCCTTTTTGAGCGGACTGGATTTTGTTTGGCCTGACTTAAACGAAGGCCGTGTGTCAAAATGGAGGTACTCCCCGCAAGAATGCTGTTTTGTCCTTTTGGCCCCCCTTACTGCGCTGGAGGAGGCAGCCTGAAGACCAACAAGTGCTCCAAGTCAGTGACTCGACTGAGGACATAGAGCGCCATCCAAAATTCTTCCCGCGGTATCTTTGGCGGCGTGGCGAGGTCGGCCATCAGGCCTGGCACTGTGGCGCCTTGCAGCCCGTACGCAGTGAAGGCAATGCAAATCGTGAACGGGAGCTGCGTGCGTGCAACAGTTGCAGGCTGGAAGTCGGGGCGGAATCGCCACGACCTGGTTCGTGGGCTGACGAAGAATGCGCTGGGCCCTAACGCAAGGTCTTTGATCCATGTCGCAGATCTCCCTCATGGCCCGGGCGGAAGGGCAGACCCGAGAGCGGACCAGGGAGGAATCGAACCCCGGACGGGGGGGGGGGCTGCTTTTCATTGGGTGCGATTGATTTTTCAGGGGTTGTGTTGAGGGACCACCCCCCGGACCCCCTTTCTTCCTATGCGTTGCTAACGCGAGCAAAACTCAAGGCAGCCTCCCCGAGGCTACCTTTCGTGACATTGCTACAATTCACCAATGACGGGTGGGCCTGCTAACTGACTACCACCTAAAATGGCAATGGACACTCCTGGAAGTGCACTGTTCCGTCATAGCTCGGTCCAATTGGTGGTTCGTTTTCGAGAAATCGACAACACATGGGTGTGTCTTGAAGGGGACCTCCAATACTGGAGTAGTGGAGGGCTTTCTGGGTAGGTTTCCTTTCACACAGCTCTAAAAGGGCACCAAACTAAAAGGCATCCAGAGGTCTGTGAGACACTGCTTTAATTGATTCAGGATAGTCACTTTCCAAATCATCTTCCTGGGCCTTCCACAGCCCGACGTCTGGCTGAACGGGCAGCCAGGTAGGACAAACCAGACATCTTCCAAGGCATCTCCAGGGGCGGTAAAGATCGGCTCCAGGGTGACACCCTTCTCTTCTCTGCGCAAAGAAGCTGTTTCTCAAAACAGGTCCACCAATGCCAGGGACCTTGCAAACCCCCCACCCCCCAGCCGCTCCCAAAGGGGTGGGGGTGAAGAAGTCTTAGGGGAGCCCGAATAAGCCCCTATCCCCTGTCGAGGTCTCACTTCCTGGACTGGTCAGAAAAAGTCCAGACTTTCTGAATTTTGTCCACACAAATGGTCTTCAGAAAAAGTTTACAGGCCGCAAGGGCCAATTAAGCCCCAAACCCTGAGGGGGCTTTGCGAGTGTCATTGGTCCCTGAAAATCACTCCCAGCCTGGATCGACTGCTTCCAGAACCTCGGGTCGCTCTCAGACTGAGATTCACTGAGATACGCCCAGAGACTGCCGAACATCGATGGATCAAGAGGATCCCCCGGCTCCATGGCTTGAGAGTAGGAAAAATCATGGAACTTGAGGAAGATCCTCACCCGGAAGTTCTTCCCAAAATGGAAACCTTTTGGGACAGCCAGAATGCTGACCAACCTACTGGTTGATGAATTCTGCGTGTCTCTTTGGAGGATACTGTTTTGTGTTGCTAAAGGGAAACCAAAAGGAACACCACCATTTGGGAGGTAAAATCAGGGGTTCCCCCCGGACAAAAATGAACGGGCGAACCTGAAAAATGGACCAACACCAAGAAACCAACATCTTAACAATAGTTTCGCTTTGGACAGGCAAGCTACTGGTTGGCTGGAAAAGTCCTCTTAAGCAGAAACAGGCCAACTGCTTGGGGTTCCCTTCTAGGATGACCACCCCACTCAACAAGTGCCAAAGCACTCCTTCAGCCGGGGTAGGTGGTCAAGGAATCCTCTTGAGATACTGTGGACGGACGAAATCCAATTGGCACCACGAGATGAAACCATGGTTGAGCTCAGACCGTTAGTTGGTACTTAAAGGGGAATCGTTTCTTAAGTGGTTCTCAAGGGAGTTGGTTCATCCACAGCAAGCATGACCATACCATGGCAACCATCTTGGCAGTTTTTTTTACCATGACGCCACACTATCGCCAAAGCCGTACCTCCTTCACGTGGACTTCCCAAAATCCCTTAGTAGGGTCTTATTGCAAGAAATCCATAATTGAGGGGAGCTTAGGGGTCGGGGGGTTCATTCTATGCATTTACCCCGACCTCCAGTGGCCATGGTGTTTAGGGCAAGACTTGCTTGCCTTCTCTTTCGAGCCATGTTGGCGAACAACCGACTGTTCTTCGCAGCCTCCAAAAGGGAGCAGAGGCGAACACCGACACCTGTTCACCCCCCCCCCCTCGATTTTCTGGAATAAGGAAATCCGCCATTTGTACAAGAATGTTGTTTTGGGAAAACCCGTGTAGGGTGTCCTTGCTTTGCAGGGCAAATCCCCCTGTCCAAAAGGCATCACTGCAGGTCATGTTGATTTGCCCATAGGAACCTCTTTTTTGGGAGCGGGACCCCCGAAACATCCATTTTAAAACGCTTGGTTTTGAAAGCGCATCCCAAGTTAGTCCCAAGTTTTTGGTGGGTCGGGCGGATTTAAAGAGCCCACTCCAAAAAACAGGAGGGAGGACATGTGACGCCTCAAACTGGTCCGTGGTCACAGCCTCCACATGCTGAGCCTCTGGCGAAGGAGATCGCGTGTCCTGGCCGAAGTGCTCCAGATCAATTCATCCCATTTGGCCATGGGTCAAAACCCAAATCGTGCCCCCAGTGAACATCCCAATCCAACCACTAAAATAGGTTCTAAAATGGGTGGTGAATTCACCTACCCCAAAGTGGGATCCCATTGGTTTTGACCCACAGCCATTTGGTGGCGGGAGGGCTTGCTGGTGCTCAGTTGCCTCCATTTGCGTGTTCGTCCCCTGGAAAAATAAACAAAATGTCCGGTAGTGATAGATTCCCTTTAAAACCAACAGTGAAAAAAGAAACATATTCTTAACCAAATGGAAGGTAGGGAATGAGGGAATGAGGGAATGACCCCTATTTCAAGAATCGTGATGGAAGTGGACAGCGGACTTCCCCAGAAGGAAAAAGTAGTCTTCCCAAAACCTCCGGTCAGCTTCCATGATTGTTTAAGGGAGGGTGTACTTGGCGATGCTTTCGCTGGATGCCGAGGTCAACTTGGGGTATGAAACTGAGAGAACTTCCATTGGGGATGCCGACTTCCAGGGCTCAAACATATCTGCGAGTTCCGATCACACGTCAGGGTCTGTCCTGGCACAAATCCTAGGAGCATGGAGTTGCAATCCTTAAAATCTAAGCATCTGCGTTGGGCCACTTCAAAGTAAGCTTCCTTTGAGGAAAACCCAGAAGGGGAAGTCTATAGCGGGAACCTTGAAAGACCAAGGGTTGACCAAGTAGTTCTTGGCCTTAAAGCTTGGAGCTTGGTGCAGCCGCAAGTGTCCAAAAACCGGAATCTGACTCCCCCAACATGAGATGGATTCCTTTGAGTTTCCCTTTACACCTCATCCAAGGAGTTCACAGAACCTGCCGAGAATCCCACTTGGCATGCTCTTCCCACTCATTTCGCTGATTCGAAGGGGGCCTTCTGTTATACTCCTGAGGATAATTGTGGTGATCTTGACTCCGTATTAATCAACCCCTGTTTCATAGGGGGTGTCCCTGGGTTGGCTTCATTAAGATGAGGTCAACATTAGAGCCACAGCCAAACTACGCTGTTCCGGAAATCAATGAGCTTCCCTGCAGGAAATCCAGCGAGTCCCCCTTTTCACCCCTGCCACATTGACCGCAAACAGCAAACTTGGACATCTCACAATGATGGAGCCTTGCGATGGTTGTCTGATTCCTTGTTAAAAACTATGACCATGCCGATTTGTCCCAACTGCCTCTGACCGTGGCACACCTGAGAGGTTTTGTGTCACTGCAGCAAATCAGGTTGGGAGTCGTTGATGGCGCCCTCTTGAAGAATCAAAGAGCACTCACAAATTAGCCAAAACAAGTTTTAGTGAACTTTGAATAGTTGAGTTGCAGCCAACCCCCCTCCGACAGCAAAACCTCATTTGTACTGTTTATTCTATGTTTAGAGGACTTATCTAAACAAAAAAGTCACGTGAACAAAGATTCCACTCAAAGTTGCCTGCCCTCAAATAAACCCGGTCGGACCATGGTTTTCCAAAGCAAGACCAAAGGGTTCTCCCAGCATAGGTGTGACCTTTTGGGAAAAGTAGCTGGCGGTAAATGGTTCATAAAACCCATCTAAACCCGGGGAACCCATCTATTTTCAACCAACCTACGCAAGGATACCGATGTCTCGATGCGAATCGCTCCCAAAACCCCCCCAGTCCTTCGCCCTCGCTCCAAAGCTGCTCCGCCTCCTCACGACACACCATAGCGTTTAGTACTGCGGATGGAGGAAATCCAGGTTCAGAAATGGTTTCACCATGGCTTCATCGCGTGGTGCAAAATGAATTCATCCGTCGACAGTATCAGCTTCCCTCTGAGTGGTTTGGAGTGCTCCTTGGCCAAGGCCCGCGCAACAAAGAACAGCGCATATGTTCCGCTTATGTTGCGGATTTAATCAGGCCAAACTTAAAATTGTCATCTGGGCACGTGGCACGTATTCCATTCTGGGCAAACTTACAATTCATCTGGGCAACTTATACAAATTACTTCGTCCACCGGACTTTATTTTTCGGGAGCCCTTTGAAAAAAACACTCACCATGGGTGCCGTGCTCTCACCTCCCGAAAGGTAAGAGCACGATAATCCGCACAAATAAGTATGACTCGGCGTGGCTATGAATTTGCAGGGTGGGGTGCCCACCTCAAAACGAATTCTCCAGAGCCACCTAAAGTGGTAGGTGGACACGAATCCCCACCAAACCGATGTCCACCATTTCGGGCCCCCTGTTGAAATTCGTGGCCCATGGCGGCCCGAAGCTCCGGGCCCTCCATGCGGTCCTTGATGCGGAAGAGCACGGCCTCCGTAAAGGACAGCGTCACCTGGCCCCAGGGGGCCACGGGCTTCTCCCATGTGCTTCAGACCCCTGGAAAAAAACAACAACATATTTCCAGTAGTGATAGAGTCCCTTCAAAACCAACAGTGGGAAATACGAAATAAGAAAAACATATATTCATTTCAGCAAATGAAAGGTTTGCAGGAACCTGGGGCCTTTTTTTCAGCCATGCTGTGGACTGCCAAGAAAGGGTCAACTGTTTTGAGAGTACCTTTCCAACTGAATGAAAAGGGCACATCCATCGATTCCATCATTTTCAGGGTTCTCGGGGAGAATGGAAGGCATCTCAAATTAGACGGGCTCCTTCTGCAAAACCGTGAATGGTCTTGGAAAAGCAACACACACACACACACATGCGTGTGTATTTCTTCTCGTCGCTCAATCCCCATCCCTGCTAGCTCCCCGCAGCCCTGGTATGTTAGCGAACAGTTTTCTTTGCAGCCCGTCCTAATATCAGCTTCCCTCTAATTGGTGGTTTGGATTCGTGGTTTGGAGGTTGATTTCTATTTACCCTCTAAAGAACCAGGGTTGAAATCCCCAAACCGCCAATTCAACCTGAAAATAGACATGGAACCAGGCAACAGGCTTAAGTTCTTGGCACAGCTGAATTCAAAACAAGCATTTCATATCATTTCATGTTTTCCGAATGTCAGCCACCAAGAAAACAGAAGCGCAAGGAAATTCCATTCAGACCCCAGAAACTTCCCGGAAGCTACTCGCATCCTAGGAACTTGCACTGCCAAGGATTGGCGAGGTTTCCCCGGGACCAAACTTGCAAACTTCGAGCTACCATCAAGTGAACCCTTGATTTTTGTTAGCCTGAAATTTTCCTGGTCTCATTGGATGCTTCTCCCAAAGGACATTAAGTTCTTACTTGTTGAAAGGGAAATTAAAGGAATCCACACAGTCACACAACAATATCTTCAGCCAAGCTTGGCCATGAAAACTGAACAGGGGACCCTTGGCTTCCCGTTAAAAAAGCACACCCCAACAGAACCCTCCGGAAAACAACAAACAAACACATTATTTTTGGGTTGCTTCAAATGGGTCTCCATCTCCAAACAGAAACATGAAAAAGCCTAGGTGGTATGCCCGCCGCTTGGAATCAACACTCCTTTTCAACCCTTCCAGCTGTCTCACCCCGAGCCAACTTGTGGGCCTATCCACCCAAACGCTTTCTTTGGCGAAGATGCTCTGTCTTTTGTTGAGGCTATCCTTTCTGAAGTCTGGTTTGAGGAAACCAAAAGGAAAACCGAAACCCCAAATTGCAGGGCCCCCCTAGTTTGAGAACCCCATAAAAACTGGCTGGTTCTCAGGGAAGTTGCACTGAGCCTTAACCATCCCGGGACTGGTTTCATTCAACCACATTCCCTGAGCAAGAAATGGAGGCGACCTGGAAATCGCTACCCAACTCGACCCCACCGAAGCACCGCGATTCGCTTCGCCTCGCCTGGGTTCCGACCATCGCCGCCTTCCACTCATCCGTCGCCAGAGTCACCCGGACCTCGCGGCTTGCGACAGCGATTCGAAAGCTGAAAGGAAGCGCAAGGGACCCTCGGCTTCCATTTGCGCACATGTCCCCCGGGAGAACACACTATCATATATTCAAGTAGTGATAGCTTCCCTTACCCAGGGAAAAATGAATATAAAATTCCAGTAGTGATAGCTTCCCTATTAAACGGAAACGTAATCATAAGACATGTATTCTAAAGCGAAAGAAGTCAGGTGGCCCTTCATTGGTGGTTTGGATTGGTGGGGAGTTGGAACCTTTTTTCTGGCAGGAGGGTGAATGGCAAACCGCACCAATCCAAATTGCCAATTTGAGGCTTGAGCCGAAACCCTTGAACAACAACCTTTAGTCTAGTCTTCGTTCCAGTCTGTCAAACCACCTTGGCCAAACGCGTGGGCACCAGGTGTCAACTGCTTGCTGGTTGCAGGGGAAGCTGGCACAACCTGATAGGGCAAAGGCAGACATTGGCCACTGCTGCCTTCGGAAAATAGGCACCCGGCTCACGGATTGACGTCAGGGTCCCACACCCCCGCAAAGGGCACATCCTCCACTCAACACCAAGGGGAGTGTCACTCAACGGTTCCCAGACACGTTCCCACCTGGAACCTAAAACAATTGTGGTCCGCCGACTACATTTGTCCACTCTGCCTCAAAAGGAAAATGGAACCAATTGGAGGTCACCCTCCCCCGATTCCCTGGTATTAAAACAACCCTTGGGTTCATATGAAGTTCACATAACCAACATGACAAGGTCCTCCACTAAAGAGGATAGAATAAGGGTAACCTTTTGTTTGTAGTCTATTTCAGTAGGGGAACCCTCCCAACCAAAAAAGGGTAAAAGGTTACTGGGGGACCTAGATGATTTACATACGGAGCTGCATCCTCTAAATTGGGTCAACCGGGGCCATTCTTTACCCAAGTCTGGGGCCCACGCCTGGGACGCTTCAGGGCCCGCCACCACCTGCCCCGATTGTTCATCGATCTCGCTTTCCAGGTGAAGCAAAGTGCAAGCTCCGCGGTGCAAACAACATGTTTACCAAGGGCTCTTGGGGTTTTTAACACGTTTTTATGGTGAACTAATATGAGTTCACGGTGATTTGACACGAGTTTATAGTGATTCAACACGATAATGTATTGCAAGAGTTTATGGTCATGAAACGCGAGTGAACGGTGGTTTAAAGAGCTTGTATTGACTCAACACGAATTTGTGGTGATCTAATACGAGTTCGCGGTGATTTGACACGAGTTTACAGTGATTTAACACGATTATGGTGATTTAACAGGAGTTTATGGTCATGAAACGCGAGTGCACGGTGGTTTAAAGAGCTTGTATTGACTCAACACGACCTTATGGTGATCTAATACGAGTTCGCGGTGATTTAACGAGTTCATGGTAATTTCAGCGCGAAACTAAGGTGAATAAAAATGAGTTTAACACGAGTTTATGGTGATTAACAAAGGGGTTTCTTGTGATTTGACAAGTTCATGCTGATTATGGTGGTTTAACACAAGTTTATGGTGATTTAACACGCGCTAGTGGTGGTTAGCATGATTTAACAAGTTTGTTCTGATTTAGCACGAGCTTATGGTGGTCAAGCACGAGTCTCTGGTGCTTTCACACGAGCTTTGTAGTGACTTGACATGAGATTGAATGAATTGCCACGAGTTTATGGTGATCTACCACGCTTTTCTGGTGGTTCAACATGAGTTTATTGGGATTTAACACGAGTTGTATTTGGCCCGAGTTTATGGTGGTTTAGCACGAGATCATGGTGCCGTAACACCAGTGTATAATGATTTAAAACACGTTTATGATGATGTAACACGAGTTGTATGGTGGGTTAACACGAGTTTATCCAACGGTGATTTAAAAAGAGTTTGTGTTGTTTAACACAAGCTCATGGTGGTTTAACACAGTGCTTAAGCACCCTTCGGTTCTTTGCTTACTCCTTCAAAGCGATACCAAGGGCGATTTAACAAGATGTTGTGGTGATTTACCACGACTTTCTGGTGATTTAACGCCGGCTTGTGGTGACTTAGCACGAGTTGATGGTGGTTTAACGAGTTTCCCGTGGTTTCAGACCATTTGGCCAAAGGATTATAATTGTTTTTTTCAGGCTCACCTTTTGGGAAAAATCGCCACAACCATGGGTATATATCGCCATAATCTCGTGCTTTCATCACGGCAAGCTCGTGTTTTTGTTCCACCGACCTGGTTGTTCCAACCCACAACGAACCAAGTCCTGGGATTTGGATACCAGTAAAACCCATGTGGGTTACCTTTCACGACCATTGTTTAAGGATTGTCGTCCAAAGTGGGTCCCAAAGCTATTCCTTTACAGGGAGCAAGGAAATCTAGTGCTACATCTTGACCTCCCACTTCTAGGCTTCCCTCCAAAGTGGTTCAGAAGGGGTTTCCCATTTACCATCTACAAAGAACCGGGGGTTCAAATCCCAACCCACCAATCCACATCACCAATTGGAGGGTTTCCTGAACTTTACGTTTTCCAAGTCCTCCAGTAGAGAGGCTAGAATAAGGGCACCAACTTTTTTTTCTGTAGTCTATTCTAGTAGGGGAACCCTCCCAACCAAAAAAGAAATGGTAAAAGGGCACTACTGGGGGATCTAGAGGGTTTCCTGCACCTAGAGGGTTAATATAAACCTAAGGGTTGTTCCCCAAAATTGGGAAGACATTCCTGTACAGGGAGCAAGGAACCCTAGGGCTACATCTTGACCTCCACTTCCCCGTTTTGCTTGGGCCCAAACAAACAACCACGGGGCTCGCATTTCTTTAAATGCGGCTCGCGTTCCGCTCGCCCGCGCCTCGCGAAACCGAAGCTGGGGCTGGCACCCATAGGGCTGCTCGAGATCCTGAGAGTCGGAATGGGACGGGAGCTTCTGTCAGGGAACATGTTCCAATAAAACAAATGCCCTTTGGAGCCCCGGTGCTAGAACCAGGTACCGCCGAGCTGAGCCACCCTGAGTTTAAATAATAAACAAAAACCTTTGGTTGGACTTTCTTACGAAGGCAGCGGGAATCGCGGGAAACATGCTGGAACAAAAAGTGCGCTTTAGACAAGGAGCGCAGATCCGAAGATCCCAAGCGATTCCCAACTGCGATGCTTAAGCCGCGTGAAGTGGGTGCAATCATGGATATGAGTGAGCCGGCTTGGATACTGAAACCAGTTGGCATGGGTACTGGATGCATTAAAAGGCTTCAGCAAACCAATTGGTCAATGTGGCTGCAAACCAAGTACATCATAACTTTGCAACGGGCACAAGATGGCACAAGGCTTGATTGACATGGCTACAACCCGCTAAGTCGTATCCAAGAAGGGCAGGGAGCGCTCTCAAGTCCTCTTGCGGGAGTGTTTGTTGTTAAGCTGAACCAAGCATTTTGGAGCACGGGACAACCAGCTTCCCTCGCGGTCCATGGCAACTCAACTCGGGACGGTGGCGCATCGGAAGCAAACGCACTCTCTGGAACTCCAATGTGAGACTCATGTACTCGCCCCATGCAGCCAGTCTCCCACAGTTGCGGTCCTTACCTTGGCACAAAGCCAAACAAATCCTCTTGCTTTCGTCAGATGAATTCTTTGTTTCACGGACACGTTATCAATTTATCACTTTGCATTTGTGGTACTGACTGTGGTCATATGGCCATGGGTCAAAACCCAAATCGTACCCCCAGTGAACATCCCAATCCCAACTAAAATGGGTTCCAAAATGGGGGGTGAATTCACCTACCAACCAAAACCATTGGTTTTAAGCCACAGCCAGATCTGATGGCTCGCAGCTCTCTCTAGTCTCCGAGCTCGCCTTCTCCCATTCGAACTCCAAGGGTTCCAGCATCTCCACGTCATCCTGTCCGAAAGAATCCTGGGGGGTGCGTCATCACATGGGTCTTAAAAACAAGAAAGCCCCTCTTTGGATGTTGTTCAGCAGGGAAACCTTCAAACGAAAACCGACAACTTTGTGGGGCTCAGCTTCATGTATGGGATTCTATCAAAATAGGAGCAACATGCTTCCCTCTTGACCAACCCCAAAAAGGTTTCCATACGGGTGGCCTTCCCACACATTTTCCAGACTCTCTGGCAATCGTGGCCTCATTTAGCCTTTGCCAGACTTATTAACTCCTAGCACGTGGGCAATTGTGACGGACCCCCTGAACTCCAAACTCACCTTTCTCTTTGCCTTGAGAACTCAGTATTACAAAAAGTTAAAAAGATGGATTTTTGGTCAAGCAGGACTGCAAAAAAGCGTTGGCGCATCTGTTTTGCTGACCATTGGGCGAGCCTGCCGGCGTTCGGCTTGAGCCCAGGCGCTCGGCTCTTGAAACCACGGTGACACATCTGCTGAGACGAGCAGAAACCTCTTTCTAATATGGGGCCCCCGAAATGCGTTTCCATTCAGTCTCCCATGGAAACAAGTTGCCGAGGGGAGCTCTTTTTCCACAACCACAAAGGAGCCAATTTCCAAGCGGAGATTCCGATCAAAATGGATTCCATGCTGATCCGGGGGCACGGCACTGCTTGATAGAATAGACGATAAAGGCACTTGCCAACGAAAAGTGAGGAGATGCGCCGACTCAGCAGGTACGCAGCGCGAACTAAAATGCTTCGTGTCGCGGGCGAAACCGCCGCTGTGACTTGGGCGGTCAATACTCAGATGGTGTCCGAGTACTTGTTCAGTGACATGGGAATCTGGTAGATGACGCTTGACTATTGACCATTGCATAAGTGAGGTCTGACCTGTTTCACCCCCACGCAATCCAAAAACCCTCCAAACCGGTCAAGTCAGCCAGGGTGTAAATTTCTTAGCAGAAATACGCCCAAATACGGCCTCCCTGGTAGGACTCCACGATTTGTTTGTGATTGGTGGGGCCCCGGATGTTTGGATTGCCGGGGAGTTCTATCAGACCTCAGGTGGCTCTAAGCTCTGAAACGGGATCCTGTCGCGCGCTACCGTGTCTGGCGGTTGAGACTTCTGGGCAAATCGCTCCGATCCACAAACCTAAAAACCTGAGTCTGGGCTGTCCTCAGATCCCCTGCTGAAAGTCGAACTTTTAGCAGGTTGAATGGAAACTACCACTAAACCCACAATTGCCTGAAAACCTAAGGGCACAACAAAACTGTTACACTTTGACCCCCAAACACCTAAAACCTAAGGAACCGGACGGGTGGGAACCCTTCATATTGCGCAGTCACCCGATTCACATCGCTGAGCTCGTTTGCCCTGAAATCAGATCTTGGCCAGTGTCAGAGAGCGCTCCAGACCCAGGTGCCCTGGTACTCGTCATGCTCCTCGCCTTACTTTCGCTGCAAACCGAGCATGTTATGAAGGGTGCACCAACTAAATGGATAAAACACACATATGATTGGCCCCCCAAAAAGCAGTTGCTTCCACTTAGACCAAGACTTGCCCCCAACATAGGTTCGGCCAAATCACCCCTATTTATCGTTTCACGTGGATTCAGGAAAGGGAATTTGGTCCCTTTTTCTCTGGCAGATTGCCCCCCTCCAACACATACACATAAATGAATATGCTTTTTGGGTTTCCTTCCAAGGGAACAGCCCAAGAAACACTAAGAGGAAGAACCAACTATTTGTTCACCCGCCCAGAAACACAAATGCCGTCGACTCCCTTAAAAGGCCCATCAGCGTCACCACACACCTACTGTAAGCAACCCAATAAAGCGAGGTCTTTATTTGCTGACTGGACAATTGAAACTGAGAAAAATGAAAACCTGAAGAGAATTCATCGAAGTTTCACTTGATCCTTGCCCTGAGTTTACTCCTGAAAAGTTGGGTTCAAGGATGTCGAGCAGTTCGCTTGGTGATCCAAGCAGAAAGCCACTTTCTACAAAAGTTGGCCTTCCTTCAAACGCGCAAAGAGGCCATCCAAAAGTAGATCGATGGCCCAAGCCGAAAGGATCGAAACTGAGGCGCGCAAAGGCCTATCTTGCAACTTCCGCAGGGCTGTCTTGATGTCGACCTTCTTGTGGATCACCTGGACGCGCCCGATTTCCACCGGCTATAGCTTGAGGGCGGTTCCCCTTTCCTTGGCCTAGGTCTCTTTGGTTAGGTTGCGACCCTTCTCAGGAGGGTAAGGTTGGTCCAAGAGAAACCCAAAGAGAAGCCCGCGAATCTCCGGTTTGGTCCGATTCGCAAGGCAACGCCACCCTCCCGCCCCGAAAAAAGTCTCACTTGAATGGCTTGGCCTAAGTAACCTCACTTGTCTGTTGCCTGGACAGGGATCCGGATGCATTATACACCCGAACATTGCAACTTGTAAATGGTGGTTTGCAACTTTATTTTGGTGGAAAAAGCAACATGTTTCAAATGGTTGCAAAATGGAGATCTTTTAAGGAGCCCTGCTTAATTGTGTGTCTTCCCTTCAGGCCTGGAACTCGGGAAGGGAGTTTCGAGGGATACCCCCGGGTACCTACTCGACAAGTAGGTGCTTTTTCCCAGGATCTATACACCTGGGTAGGCATATATTCATAATATAATATATTATATATATGTCCCATGTGAGCCACGGGAAGTTAGTAAGTCTCCTTGGCTTTGCAGGACAGTCTCCCCGCCCCTCGCGAAATGGACCAAGATTACTAACGTGGCAGCCTGAACTGAGTTCCTGAGTGGATTGGCCCAACAACAAAAAACACAAGGTGCGTCTTTCCCACACGCGAACGGTCTTACCACATGCAATTGAAGCATCCGAAAACCAAAAGGAACCCAGGGACGAAGCTCAAAGCCTCACAAGGCTCTGGCTTGGGGGATGACCTTGAAACCCGTTTCACCCATTGACCTCAAGTGCTTTTTCATGGTAAAGAAACAAGAAAGAATCAGAGGGCGTACTGTAGCCCTCAACATAGCCAGGCAGGAAGTGAATCAAATTTGTCCATGGCCTACATGGTTGTGGAAGATCCCCATGCTTCCAAGGCTGTTGAATTCTCATGACTAATCTGTTCACTAGGGGGTTTCCCTTGGCTCACAAGGGGCAAGCTCAGACCTACCCTCGGGGTTGTGTTGAAGGAAGTCCACGTTTTAAGCTCCGAATCGTTGTCTCAAGCTAGGGAGACCCTCAAAATCGGTGTATGCCTGTTGTTTTTCCTTTCAACACAAGCTGTAAAAGGGGTACCATCAGAAAAACACCCGTCTCAAGAGTCGTTGTTCAGGGGGGTTTTACCGCACGTCTGGGTCTCCCAATCTCTCAACACCCATCTCGGGGAGCCTCGTACACCGCCTCGCAAATGGGCATCTCCACTCCAAGCCTTTCAGCCAGCTTGTGCACGGAGAGACTGGTCTTTACACCCTCCGCCACTGCAACGTCCTGCCAAGCGGTCATGGGCGATGCGTAAAGGGGTTTGTTAGACCAGGATGGTTCTGCAGGGAAACCTTGGATTTGGACATCCCAAAAAGGGAACCAACTGACAAATGCCCTTCTGGGCGCAGTCTACTCCACCGAAACTATACAAGTCACATCCTGCCTGAACCATGAAGTTGTTGAAACAACAAGCCCGTGGTACACGCATGGTTGAAGCCACCAAACTGTGTGAGCCTCCTGTTGCTTTGCACCAGCACAGGTTTGCCCATCAGAGTCCTCCAAAAGATCTGGGGACCGGCTTTAGTCTTGACACCCTCACGGTTCCAACATATTTTAAAATGTTGCCCAAAGAAGAGGACGGCCTGCAAGGTCCCATTCTCAACCACGTTTGCAACTCCATTTTTTCACGGGGTCCCATATCTCCAACCCTTTTTTTGAGGGGGTCCCATATATTTCCAACCACGTCTTCCCCACTTTTGTTCAGCGACGGAAAATTCCCAGCGGGCCGCACGGACCGCCAGGGGAATTTTCCTGGTTGAAGTGCTTGGAGCTGCCCGGCTTCGCCGCCGCCGAGGCCGCCATGGCTTGACCCACCGAGTAGTTCCTCGACAAGCCTCGGAACAAAAGGCTCGAGATGAATGACTCGGAGAGGCCTTGGGGCCCTCAGGGTTCCGAGAAAGGGGATGGTGGCGAAAATGTGAAGGGAACGAAGGAAAAGGAACTCGTTTGGGGATTCCAACTTGAAGACCAGATAGATTTTACCCACTAATTTGTTGACCCCAGAGTCATCAACCCTAGTTTATCGATAGGGGGATGTCCCTGGGTTTAGTGGGGAACCATCATTTCTTGAGGGGAACACCCCCCCTATTCATAAACTGGGGTTGATTAATATGGGCTCAACATTGAAGGGTTCCGTGCAGAAGGCAAGGGGACAAAAACTGTGGATGGTTGCGAATCCAGAAATCGCACCACTTGAATTGAAACCATTGTTGGTTCTTGCAGGCGGGGGGAATCGAATCATTCCAGGATTTCTTCGGTGGTGCGAGATGGATTTTGTCCATCAGTTCGAATGGGGGGCGGGAAATTGTACGACCAACGCCATCGCCATAGGAAAAGGTTCGTCGGCAAAATCGTTAATTTGTTGGGACCCGTTGAACGGGTTAGCAGTTCCAAGCCCCAGTGGCCATGGGTCAAAAACCAAATCGTACCCCCAGTGAACATCCCAATCCAACCAGTAGAATCGGTTCTAAAATGAGTGGTGCACCCACCGCCAAAATGGGATCCCATGGGTTTTTGACCCACAGCCACGTCATAGATTGGTGTTTGTTTCCAAATTCTTCCCGAGTTCAGCGCGGTCCAGGACAGTTCCCAGCAGTCATGGGGTCAATCTGGCCACGAGTTGGTTTCCTTTCCAGGAAGGTTCCAGTGGGGTTTCAAGGCTGGGATACTTCTTGAGCAATGCGCATCCCCATGTGGAAAGTAGGCAAGTAGTGAGCGACAAGGCGGGAGAGAGTTTTCCGACTAAGAACCGGTTC